CTGCCTATGAAAGCTGATTACAAAATTTTAGCAGTTTTCGGGCAAATTGGCAGCGAATTCGATCAAATTAAATTATAAAATTCTAGTCATTTGTATCCGTATTTGATCTGACTGTGAACACTGCCTGCTGTCATTATATCAGCAGATTAGTGACGGAAACCAAACAGGATCTACACGTACTAAGAATCTGACAGCAGAGTGACAGCAGAAATTGAAGGTACAAAATCTTCTTCGGCTTCCGCAACCAATCTGCTGGTAAAACATATCAACTTTGTCCTATTTCTAGCAGCAGTTTACTAACATTGGAAAATACAAACTTTATGCGCAATAATTTTTGCAATCAAAGATTAGTAGCATGATCTCAAAATCTATCTTCGCACGTTTTGCTATCTGGGAATATTATTATACATATACGTTTTTATACATAATATAGAGAAATAATTCACACATAATTGCAATATAATATTTATAAAGTTTGTACATTATTTATGTATTTGTTACAACTGCAATTGTAATTAAAATTGATACTATATTGATGTTTAATAACACTCTTAAATATATATAAAGGACAGACGAAAAAACAAAAAACAAAACTGCCAGAATATGCACAGTTTTTATGTACTGACGTATATGAGTAAATATAAAAGTATACCCATCTTCCATCAATAAGTTTCATTAAATAATGGGGCATAGGTTGTGGTGTATATAGGCTATAATTACTTTAATATTCTTAAGTGCTTTTGACTAAAATTGTATTTATACTACCGTTACCATTCGGTTCAATTTATACTTTCAACTCATCAATAAAAGCACAGTTTAAAATAAAAACTATATGCGCAATGACCAAAAGTATTCGTACAATTTTAACGCCACTTTTAATAATGAGTTACTTATTTGGTTTAAGAATTGCTATATCTAATCATTCAAAATTATGGTTTAGTATCATATATATACTGCTATTTTGGTCAATTTACTATTTCCTCACATTATGTGCATTTACTTCTTTTTATGAGTATTTGTCCTTCGTGGAAAATATCGGTCATCGTTTAGAAATACCTGTGACGATATTGTTGATAATCGGGTTTGGAATATACCATAACAAGGTAACGAATAACTATAATACTTAAAAATAAACATATTCTTATCTATTTACATTGATGAAATATGCAGGGAATGGGAGTAACTAATTACTGCAACTGTTATTACTTATTGTTAATGACTTAGATATTTAGTTGTAATAACAACTTGGTAGTAATGTTGCGAATTTCTCATGAAGATTATGTAACACAGAGTTGAAACAGACAATAATTACTTATAACAATTATAACAGTTGAAAAAATCATTCGTTACTGAAAAAAAAACTTGCAATTTTTAATTCATTGCTTTTTAATGCAACTTGCTACGAAATAAGTTTACGAAGTTATTCATTATTTATTACTTTTTTCAATAAGTAACGCATAAGAGTAACGATTTACTTTTCAAAGTAAATTTAGCGTAATATCTACGTTCTATAATTAGTCATCATTACTGTCATAAAGAATTGCAACGTCATTATCAAAGAGTTATTGTACAAAATTATTATAAAACGGAAAAATAACTTTTTCATTCTCTGAAAATAAAGATTATAATTTATAGTACATTAAATTCTATATTTGTTTAATTATAATAACTAAGTTAAGATAAATATTCCGATTAGCAGAAACAGTCCAAAATACATTGATCTTAATATACGTTGTACAAAATAATGATCTTGAGTAAGACTTTTTGATTGCCGGACGTTGTTCATTAAAAAATTATTAACAAAATAAGTTTTGTAAACAGAATATAACTGATTTTTGGACAAATTGAATATTAAACACAGAATATATATGTATATTAATATACACATTGTGAAAACGAATCTTTTCTTTGCGGCGTGCCATTTATTTAACCTATTGTCTTAATTCCTATTTGATGTTATAGGAAATAAATTCAAGTTTTATCGCCAAAAGTTAGCAATCAGTAATAGCTATACTTGTTGTATGTGAAAATTTTTGTTAAAATTGCCAATTTTGCTTTAAAAGGGTTCCTAATACGAGACATAAGAATTTTTTTTATTTGAGAGGAAATCGAGAAAAAAATAAAAAAAAGATTTTTCTATAAACACTTTAATTATACAAAAATAAGAACAACAACCTTACAATTTTAATTATACATAGTAATTATATATATCTTTTGATTTTAAAATACAATAATCCTAAGGATAAGAATCCATTACAATTAGTATGTCAAGCATATACTTATTATAAAATAAAACAGTCCAAAAATAAACAATACTTAAACTTCTTGATCTTCAGAGAATCCCCTGATTTTTTTTAATTTTCAGAATATCTCATATTACTCTCACGCTTTCCGATTTCACGATCATCATTTCTAATATTTATAATCAAGAAAATGATCCCGTTTTTTCTTATTAATATAACCTTACTCGGTAATTAAATGCAGAATTTATTGACAAATATTTTTTTATTATAATATAATGAACAAGATTTAAAGACGCTTGTCAACAAAATTTAATAATAATTTCATAATTCTTTTTTCGTGATTACACGCATGATGTATTACTAAATTTTGCACTAAATAGATTTCACCCCAAGAGTAATAAGTTCATGAACGGAACCAATCACATGTGTTTAATAATTTAGCAGAAATATTCTGCTGTCTTAATTAAAAGCCTATAACAAATGATTTTACATTATAGATCTCATTTTACTCTTTAAGGAGAATAGAGAACGCGGTTGCTTCTTTCAGACATTAAAATAAAGTTTCTTTAGTAGAACATCTGTTTCGCCCGCATGTCCGCCACATAAATTATAATTAATGGTTTGCCGAGAACAGAGATAAAGAGCGAAAACAATAAGCTATAATTAATTATTTTACTGTGTCTTATTGTCACTTTCGTTCCCTTGAATATGACAGACCAATCAAAAACCTAAAAATGAAAAGTTATTTTTTAAAAAGTAATAAATTACAATTACTCATTACCGATTAAAAAAAATAACAAGTCATCATTACTAATTACCGATTTTTTAAAATAATTCGTTACAGTTACCGTTACTTAAGTAACTTTTCGTTACTTTTCCGTTACTTTTTTAAAAATCGAGAATCACAGCAGAGGGACTTTCTAGTTTCAAGCTATAAGTGGCTTGTATCCACTTGTATCCAATTGTGTGGAAAATAACGATAAAAGTAACTGTAAAATTCATTACCGTTATCAAAAAAATGTAACTTTGTTAAAGTTATCAAAGAAAAATAATAACACAATTACCAATAAAGTTACCAAAAAAGTAACTGTATCTTCGTTACAAGTAACGAGTTACTTCCCTGCCAAAAACCATTACTCGATAATTTAACTTTTACTACAGGAACGCTAATCGAAATCGTTGTGGATGCAATGGGTTCCACCCTCCCCTTTTCACAAATGGAACATCAATAAGTAACAAAAATTAGACACAGAACTTTCAAATTTACTACCACCGCTGAAAATGTTATGTTACATTACGTACACTATAAGTTTTCAGTACTGACAGTCAATTTGGAATACAGCTATGTTTGGATTGAACCTCGCTTTGCACGAAAAATTGTGAACCTAAGTGGAATCACTTAAACTTACAACTTTCCACATGAAGCGAGATTCATATCAAACTACGAATCAAGTTTTTTGATAGTTGAGTCCTTTTCCCATAGGAATCCGCTGTCTTTATACATATACATATGTGTGTGTGTGTGTGTGTGTGTGTGTGTGTGTGTGTGTGTGTGTGTGTGTACGTGTGTATATATATACTTTCCAAGCGGAGCGAAGTCCCATATTGGTTTCAACTTTTCCCATGAAGCGAGGTCTACCTCATCTTCTCTAAGCAAAATGGAATCTATGATTGTGTAGTCTCCCTCCAAGTACAAATTCATTAACATATATAAATATGCTAATAATGTGATATTTATATTAAGTAAAATTTATATCAAGTTAGATGTCTATACAATAACTAATATTTATTATAATAACTAATATTTGTTAATAACTTTTTATACAACCAACAACGATCGACAGCTAACATCTTCTAAGATCAATTAAGGTCATGATCTTAACAATATGTTACGGGAGCTGATTCTTCTAATCGGAACTATAATACTTATTTACCATAATATTTATTTATCCATTTCATTTTCTATTTTTTTTGCAACAGAAATTCCAAAATTGTTTAAAGAGATTTGATATTATCGACAACACATTGCTTAAATTAGGAACAATAACAGAGTATGACAATCTACGCAGAAAAGTAATGTGGTATGCCTCAGGATGGATCGTCACAGTTATATTAACAACATGCTGCGCAGGTTTAATATTGAAAGAAGAATATAACGGGGTTATTGCATCAACAATGTATTTCAGCTTTCTACGAGATTATTGTATTCATATTAATTTTATGGGTGATTTGATTAATGCAAGTATCCTCGAGTTAGTACACATTCTTACATATACTTACAATGATATCTTTATCTTATGGCATAGTTATTTATGTAAATATATAAAATAGTAATCCAAGAATATTTCATAATTTCTGAAGTGAAAACTTTAAAAGTATTGATTAGAGATAGCTACTGTTTCAAATAATTTCATTTTCTATCTATTTTTTTTTATATTCAGATACACCGGATTAAAATTTGATCAAATCAATGAACATATTCGGAATTTGATGAAAAATCAAAAATACAAAATAACAACACAGGCTTGGAAAAATAACAGAATATATCCTCATCAAGATAGATTTTCGAAACCATTAAGCAACAAATGCAGAATATGGATCATAATGTAAGAAATTTTATGTAAATTCTATTAGTGACGATAACATCATTGAAAAAATGTAACGTTTATAATATAAGTTAATATTTGTATGTCCAGACACCTTTACTTAGAGCTACGCAAAATAAGCCGTGAAATAGACTTAATATTTGGAACCCAAATGACTATTAAATTGGCAGGCTATTTTATTTGGATGACATTTGACTTGCACGAAATTTTCTACCCCATACTTATCACAAATTATGTCAAATCTAAAACAATGACCATCGTGCTTCACATGTTCTGCTTTACTAATAATATATTTAAATTCCTACTCATTAATTATATTTGTGAAATAGTTACCACCAAGGTAGGTCAAATTATATTAAATTTCAGAAAACATTAATTTAAAATTTGTTTACAATACGTAAATGAATTCAAAGATTGACATATAATTTTTAAATTAAATTAGAAATTTCTTTAATTACATTCTTTAATAATTACATTCATCATACATTACAATTTCAGGCAAAAGCTACAGCAGATGTATTAAATAAATTATCACATGTCACCTGTGATATTGAAGTTCGTGAAATTGTAAGTTTTAAAATACGTTGAAGTTATTATTAAAGTAAATATTAAGAGTACAAATAAATATAAAATTCAAAAAATATACATCAAAGAAATATATTTTTTATAGATTTCGCAATTTTCATTACGAATAGTTCATGCCCCACTTAGATTCTATGGAATTGGGTTTTTCCAATTTGGTTTCAAATTTCTTCACGGGGTATGTATTTACCATTTTGCATACTATAAATCCAAATTAACAAATATTTAAAAAAACTTACTTATATTTAATTTTAGTTTGTCGCATCTATTGCAACCATTGTAGTTATCATATTACAAGCACAAGTAAATAAGCAAAAATTTATATGAGATTATTACAAAGTTTGTAAAAGATAGTTTAATAATAATCTATATATTGTATATATAATGCGATTTACAAAAGGCATCGTACGTACAATATTTTTAAGATTTCAGTCCCTATATATAAACTTTGTGTGAGAGAAAAAATTAATATGTGAACTATATAATAATGTTTTATGCAATCAAAGTATAAATTAAAAAAATATTTAATATTTTTTGTTTTTATACGATTCTTTTAATTATAAAGACGAGAGTAATCATGTATTTTTTTAATGTAAACTGTCAGTGTTTTATACTCCAATTAAAATCATTATTATTAACATGTATAGTAAAGCGGGGCTAGTTGCGTATAGGGACAAGTTGATCAAATGTAAATACCTACATAACAAAAGAATATATAGATACATCTATGCTTGTGTAATGTAGCACAAAGACGGAGATTACTGTGTCTTAATACAATAATCTGTATCCAACTGTTAAAATACGCTTTTTTATTTTCGTATATCAAGAGTAAATTATTAAGTAAGTATTCTTTTTGAGGTATTGTAATTTAAGCGATTAATACCAATGAAATTTTTGTGTTTTTTGGATATAAGTTATTATCGTATTTTTTAACTTTAATGTTCAAGTTGCTATTTATTTGGTTTTTAGTTATAAAAAAATATTATAATCGACACCAATATGGGGCTTGTTAGGTCCAATATCTCATAATGAACTTATATACTCAGCTGTTTAATTAAAATCTGTCTTTATGTCATGCTTTTTATTTTAACGATTAAATATATATTTTATGTTTAATTATTATTATAAAAAATAAAGATTTTAGTTTTTCTAATTTTGTGAATTAAAACACTTGAAAAGAGAGAGTATTACAAATTATTATATTTAAGATGAAAATGATAAAAATTTGATTAATATACATATAATCCTTTTATATTTTTAATAATATATAATCTCATTAAACGATTATCTTTATCTGGTTCAACTTATCCTTTGAGGATACTCAACATGCTCCATAGGCATATTGATCCACTTTACCTTGTAATTAATGTAATTTTTTTCTTACAAGATATATTAAGGATTTATAAGTATTTAATTATTGAGCCATAAATACGCAAGGTTTTAAAGCATTTACCATTAGTCTAATTATGTCAAGATTTATAATATCTTAAAGAGAAAGTGTCACAACTAATCCCGCTCTACCCTGTATTACTGATTGCTTTCCGATTTATATTTGAAAACATTATGAATGTGGATTTAATATTTTAATCACTTTTTTCTGTATAAAATAAATAGAAAAACAATATAAAATAGAATAGAATAAACATTCAATAATTTATTATGATCCTATACATATATCTGAAGAAGATAGATAGATAAGATTTTAATTAATATTATTATATTAATATTATTTCATTGCGGGTTTTCGTTTGAATTGCATATCTAAAAGTTTGTAAAAAATAATTATATTTAAGAAAAAAAAATTATATTAAACAATATCCATATAAAACAATATTTTGCAATAATTCAAACTTTCTGTGTCACTGGAATAAAAATACTGTAGATGACTTGACTTAAGAAACTATATTATATTAAAAATCTATATTAGTTAATATAGAATTCATAGTTTTCATTAGAAAATAGTTAAAAAAATTATATATCACTCTCAAATTCTGTAAAATCACATTTTTTCCCAATTTGGAATCAAATTTCTTAACAGAACATTATATTTATGGTATAATTATATATTACAAAAGTAAGATCTTGGAGCTTAATTAAGCTCCTAACAAATATTTAAAAAAAAACTTTCAAATTGTGATTTCATTTTTAATTTATCATGTTTTTTGCCGATTTAAGTACAGTAATATACGCGCATGAGTAAATATTTTATCAAACTATGAGAATTTACAAAAACTTTGATAATAATGCACATATAATGTTTATAAATTATACGATTTTAGTGTTTCAATATTAGAATTAAAAAAAAGTAAAAAAAA